TTTTCGGAACTTCCCTCGCAGATCCCTCGCAGATCAGCGAGGGAATTAGTTTTTTCGGAACTTCCCTCGCAGATCCCTCGCAGATCAGCGAGGGATCTGCGAGGGAACATTTCCCTCGCAGATCAGCGAGGGATCAGCGAGGGAATGAGTTTTTTGGAAATTCTCTCGCTGATCCCTCGCTGATCAGCGAGGGAATGTGTTTTTTGTCATTTCCCTCGCTGATCCCTCGCTGATCTGCGAGGGAAAAATTCCCTCGCTGATCTGTGAGGGAAAAATTCCCTCGCTGATCTGCGAGGGAAAAATTCCCTCGCTGATAGTCGTCGCTGATACCTGGTTTTCTAGTAGTGTACAACACTGACCATCCTTGATTTGTCATTATTTTCCTTTAAACTAGATATGAATATTATTTGATCTTTTCATTTTTTATAGAGTAAAACCTTTTAGTCATGGATTTATTTCTTGTTATCATGCAAATTAAGTTGCCAAAAGGAGATGAAGTCAAATTGATTCAACGCTACTCTATCAGTAGAGTATAATATAATCAAGGTGCATAAATTCAACATACATAAATTGTTCGACAGAACAACAGACCACACATAAATAATCATTCAATATTTAGGGAATACTCTAAATGAAGAATCTCTTGGAAGTAACATTAGTAGTAGCGAATACATCACAAGCTTTCACAAAAGTAGGTCTCTAAGGATGGGGTAGAGAAGGTTTAGGGAAGTCCTTGGGCAACTCTGGTATTTCTGGTTTGGGCAAGGTGGGCTTAGGAAGGTCATGGATTTCTGGCACCTTTGGTACTTCTGGTTTGGGCAAAGTAGGCAACTCCGGCTTTGGAAGCTCAGGAAGTGCGGGTTTTGGAATTTCAGGAACTGTGGGCTTCGGGATCTCAAGAACAGTGGGCTTGGGGATCTCAGGAAGTGTGGGCTTCTGAATCTCAGGAACAGTGGGTTTTGGAATCTCAGGAAGTGTGGGCTTCGGAATTTCAGGAAGAGTGGGTTTTGGAAGCTCAGGAAGTACGGGTTTTGGAATTTCAGGAACTGTGGGCTTCGGGATCTCAGGAACTGTGGGTTTCGGGATCTCTGGAACTGTGGGCTTGGGGATCTCAGGAACAGTGGGTTTTGGAATCTCAGGAAGTGTGGGCTTCGGAAGCTCGGGAAGTGTGGGTTTTGGAATCTCAGGAATTGTGGGCTTCGGAAGCTCAGGAAGAGTGGGCTTCGGAATCTCTGGAAGTTCAGGCTTTGGAACCTCAGGTATCTCCAAAAGGTTACGTGCCTTAGTGATCATCCCACCACTTATTGACGCTAAAGTGATTGAAACTAGTATGAGTCGTAGGAAGGAAATGAGATAGGAATTAGCCATTGAGATTGCGTTGGATTGATGAAGCCGATCAATATATAACTAAGAAGGTGTTTGAGTTGGATTGGGAATATATGTTTGTGGATTTGGATTTATATAGAAGATTGAGTCATGGAGAAGAGGGACCCACTGATGATGAGTTGGTGGGAATGACAAAGAAATTGGCATTTTTAGTTCAACTTCTCATCTCTACCTTAGACTTGCATGTACACTGTCCTATTTTTAGTATCATATGTCTGATTATAATTAAGTCACTTAATTAATTACTGTGTTATTCTTTGTTGAACTACGTACATGACGCTGTTCAACTTTTGTTGTTCAGCAAACTCTAACCACATTGCTTCATTATTTTATTGTTTGATTAATTTTTCCTTTTTGTGAACTAATTGTAAATGTCTTTGAATCTCTTCTTTAGTTTCTTATATTACACTCTAAATATTCTCTGTTTATTATATCATAATTTGACTTTTTTTAAACACAATTCCACTCATTGTCGTAAATTGTCGCAAGTGTTGTCTTCCCATTTTTATATTTATATAGCCAGTTCGATCAATATCGACAATCTCTTCAATATAATCACGGATGTTGGTTCTTGTGTGATTGGACTCACCACACCCATATTAATGAAATAGTCTCTTACTATTGTGAGATATTTATGAGAATAATAAGAGTTAATTTATTATGGATATATTTATTTATAGAAGATGATGAACTTTCGTTAATTATGATTAACGGTTTAGATAAAAAATAACCGAGTTATATTTACGAAACAAAATATTTATTAGACTTGATGAATGGTTGAGACTAGTTTATATAGTTTGTATTAGTTAGATAGTTTATATGTGTGTAGAGGTTCAAATAACAGAGAACGTAAAAATAAATGATTCTTATAAAAATCATTGATAAAAGGAAACATGAGTTCGTATATAAATTTTCATGTGTGAATAATTGGTAAAGAGGTACGTAAACGAACATGGGTTCACATATATATATCTTTCAATGAATTTCCTTTTTCATATTTACAGGTCATGATTCACATATGAATCATTTACGTTTACATTCAATTTTTTTTTCTTTATTTGAACCTTCCTTGTATAAAGGAAGAATAATGCGAGAAGTTAAACATTTTTTGAGAAAGCGAGAATTATGATATCATATATGATTACACGGCCTTTGGGTGTGTTTAATCATATATGATTAAGCTTGTGTGTCATATATGATATCACACTTCTCGTCTTCTCACAAAATATTTAGCTTCTCATTTGAACGTATAAATACATGAATTATGTCTAACTTCAAAAAATTTATTTCATAGATTAATACAAATTAGCGACGGATTAGTGAGGGAAAATCCGTCGCTGAAAGTCCTTGAAAATTCCCTCGCTGATCCGTCACTGAAATATCCCTTGCAAATTCGTCGTTGAAAGTTCCCTCGATGATCCGTCGCTGAAAGATCCCTCGCAGATCCGTCGCTGAAAGATCCCTCGCTGATATATTTCCTTGTTGATCCGTCGCTGAAAGTATCTCTCACAAATTCGTCGTTGATATCCCTCGTTGATCCCTCGCTGATAGCATTACCTACGAGCATTTGAACATAAATTCACAACCATATAAACACAACTCGACATATATGAGAACATTCGTACAACCATATAAACACAACTCGACATATATGAATCATTGTGTCTATTACGAACACAAATTGACATATATAAACACTTGGTCAATTACGAAAACCGATTTACCTATATGTACAGTTGGTATAATATTAACACATATTAACCCAAGTGATCATATGAAAGATGATGAACATGTGTGACCATATGAACACAAATTCACATACATGAACATTCGTACAACCATATGAACACAACTCGACATATATGAACCCTTGTGTCATTCACGAATACAAATTGACATATATGAACCTTTGTGTCAAATACAAACACAGATTGACATATATGCACACTTATGTCATTTACAACTTTTTTTTCATATACACCCATGTTCACACATGAACAATTCCCATAAATATCGAATACTTGTTCATATATGAACCATTAACACAAAAAAACTGTAGAAAAATTTGGTGTCGAAGATCTTGCTGTTGGTTTTGATTCGATGGCGAGATTAATTCCCGACATTGTTATCAATGGACAGTACAAAACATTTCATTGCTATTAATGGGTAATTACATAACATCTCATTGTCATTAATGGACAACTAAAATCTTTTCCCAAAATACCCCTTGTAAATATTGTTCACTTATGGTACCTTGTCTATATGTGCAATTTATTACACTTTATGTCATGAAAGATCTTAGCCACAAATTTCAAAGATCAATTGTCAAGATTGGTTAACAAAGTTAACACAATAATTTGGGTTAACAAATGAACTTGCCCATATATATATATATATATATATATATATATATATATATACACACACACACACATGTATATATAGAGTTGGTTTCCAGTGACAAGGTTAAGAAGGGATCTTCACCCTTGAATCAATCTTAATTGAAGATCAACACTAATGAGATACACCAAAATGCATCGGTTTAATTCCCTTCTAAAGCGTAATTCATGGGTAGACATGAGATTAAAAGTGATCAAGGATGGAGATCTCTTCTTACACTTCTCACTTTTTTTTTTCTCACATGATCCTTCATCTCTATATATATATGGGTGTCTGTGTGTGAAAATAATTAAATGATCACTATAAAAGTGTTCAAAACCCATGAGAACCAATCTTATTATTATTTAAATTTTTTCCAATAAAGACCATGATATATGTATTTTTTTCATATATGATTGTTTTCACATTGTGAAAAAAATGCAAATGAATTTTTTTTGTTCTCACTGTGAAACAAAAAATACACGTTAAGAAGTTTCACAATTATAAACTAATCTATCTATCTATCTATATATATATATATATATATATATATAGGGGCCTAATCAAATGAGAACTAATTAGTTTGTGGTAACTGTGAGAATCAATATTAACCACAAATCAATAGATAAATTAGAAAATTTATAATTTTGGCAATTTTGAATTAAAATATTAATGCAAGGATATTTTTGGTATTTTAAAA